ATCAAGAACTGCATTACAGCCTTGGAAGTGGCTTACAATTATGTAAACCTTCAGGTAAGATTATGGTATTTCAGAGGTCTGAAACAGTTGTTGCTCTTAAATACCAAATATACAGCAATAGTTAGGCTGATTAGGGATAAACTTTTAGCGTTTGTTCTGAAGTTCCTTGCTCAGTGGATTTAATTCAGGCCTTAAATCTCATTTGCATATAATTTATTTAATACAGCAATCTGGGTCCTCACTTTTTTAATAAGTAATGTTCAACTATTTATTGCGTGAGTTAGTTTGTCTACAAACTCTGCCCAGCTCCTGATAATATTTGACATACTGTTCCATACCTGTGATAGTATTTGAGCTTAAGATTTCTTTTTGTAGTTATTAAATGTTTAATCTTTAGTAGTATCATTTGCACTAAGGAATATAGTTAAGCAAGAACTGTCAGTATTTTAAAAATGCTTTCATACGGTTTGCTCACTTTATCCATTTTTTATTTGCAGTTGAAAAATGAAGAAAAAGATACATATGAGGAAAACCTCCATTACCCTTTTCTTCTCGTTTTAACCAAACACAGATAGAAGATTACACTTTTTTTTTTGTTTTAAGGTGGACTGCTGAAAATTAATCCATGTATGTGGATGGGCAGGGAGTGGGGAGGGTTCAGTTCCCCCCGCTTTGTTCCTGAGTCATCATTAGAGAAATATTTCTAATCTAAATGCTGAGGAGGATATCGTGGCTTGCTTCACAGTGTGTAAACATTGAGACATCTTTTTTGTGTCATTTTAGAACTTATTTTTCCAATTGTATTCCAGCCTAAAACCAATCAGACTTCACATGTATGCATTAACAAAGGTGTAAAGCTGGCTTCCTTCTCTTTTGTGTCTTTAAACTTGCATGTACTTTGTTAATCTCTTTAAATGTTATTTTTGGGGTGTATTTGAAAATATGCAAATAATAGACTTTGTGGGCTTATATAACTGGTTGTAAAGTAGTAAGTGTATTCACATTTAATCAGTAAGGAAATGGTTGTCTTAAGATCTTCTAAAAGTGCACCTATTGAATGCTCGGATTTTTCTGCCTTTTTTTTTTTTTTTTTTAAATGCCACTGTTGATTTTTCTGTCCATGAAACGTCCTCATTTGCTTCAGTGTTGAAGGCTTTTTTATATGTATATGTGTGTATATGTGTTTTTTTCCAGCAGGACTTTTCCTCCTGTAGATGTATAAGAAATTATGCATCAGACAAAAGCCTCATAAACTGACCATTTGTCCTTTGGACACAATAGCCTGCCCAGCCCCTCTGCTCCTCCTCTCCAATTATGTGTGATTAGTCTCAGTGTGTTGTGTCAAGAAGGGGGAGTGTGCTGAGTGCTTATTATCTGTTTAGGTACAAGAAGAGCACATTTAGGTTCTGACTATGAATGGAAAGTGAGCCTTTATCAGGACTAAAATCTAAATGCTACTATCCTAGAAATCGCTTTTAAAAAAATACATCCTTTCTGATAAATCCCGAGAAGCACTATAACAACTAAAGGATTTTGTAGTGCAATCAAACTGTCTCCCGTGAATTAGTTTATATTGTGATATATTGTGGCCCAAGTATTTGATAAACATTTAATATGACTTTTCTTGTACTGGGAAAGATGAAAACCCTACAAAGAAACAGGAGCAATTTCTTATTTTCTTAACAATTTAATAGACCATTTTAATGACTTCTCAGAAAAACAGCCTGGATCATTAAAGAATCCTGTACAGTCTCTTAAACTGCAACACACTTTAAATTATGAAAAAAGAGAGAGAGGCAGAGAGCATGACTGAGAGAGGGAGGTACTAGATGCAAGGAAGTGTAGCGGGACATGCTGAAATACATTAATTAAAGAACTGCAGTTCGGCAATAAGCGTTCTTCCATATTTAACAAATGGGGCAGCATGTAAACCACGAGCTTCTGAAAGTCCCTTTCTCTTTGCTCTTCTTCTCAAACAAATTTCTTCACTACCGGTTTGCATGTCCTTGTATTCAATACTTTTTATGCTCCATTAGAGCACCTAGATGGATCTCAGAAGGCATAGGTCAAGTCGCAGTTAGATCATACATTTCTTTCTCACAAAAACTTGAATTGCAATGCCAAGTGATGGGCTAACATCACAATAACAGCAATTTATTCCTCTTTTGATAAAAAGCAGGCTGTTCTCAGTGTTAGATAAAGACCAGGGGCAATGCAAACCAACCATTTATCCTAGAACTGAGTAGTATGTCTTCCCTGTAGCTGGTATGAGTTTCATGTTCAAACTCTTGTTGGAAGATACTTGTCTAGTAAGAAATCAAAAGCATTTAGGAGTAATTTAAAATTGCTGTGAAAGCGGCTTTAGTTTAATTAGTTTTGTTTTGTTTGTCCCACACAGCAGTCCCTTTGTTTTCTCTAAAAACATGTACAAGGAAATCTTTATAATCAACAAAGGAGTGTGAAAAATAGTGAAATATTAAAATTTGTGAAGCTTTTGTTTTTGAGAGGGCTTGAATGTCTGCTGTACAGTAATCTAATAAAGATTGTTAGTTGCCAAAAATAGAACCAGTGTCACTGAAAATTGTGGTTTTAGCTCAAAGAAGAAAACAGTTTTACTGAAATTAGTAGCTGATAATTGCTTTTTATTTCTTTAGTGTCTGTCGTTTGAGTGGAAAGCTTTGCACAGGTGCTGCCATCCCTAAAGTGTGTAATTGATGGCTTGTTTACCAAAGATGCATTTAGGCTTCATCCTGCAAACTCACATTGGAGCTCCACAGGCAGTAAAGTTACTCATCTACATAAGTGCTTGCAGGTTTGGTCCATGTAGATATTTTTAGAGGTATATAAGCAAGCTCTCTTCTTGATTTTTTGTTCTAAAATGGGTATTGAAAAGTCACAGATGTAGGATTTACTGTATATGAGGCACTGAAAGTGCTCTTTTTTAGAGATATCTCTTGGAGCCCCTCGTGTTAATAGGAACTTGATGGATTGTTTCTGAGCTCTCAAATTTTAATAATAATACAGTGTTTATTAA